ATCTGGTACTTTTCTGCCAATCCCAGGGGCACTCCTGCCGAGGAGAGACTAGGAGTATGAAAACCACATGTCCCAAGGCCTTCCTGTGAGCATGGGCCATTTAAAATCTTGCAGAAGCCATCCAAATGCTCCAGATGAGCACAAGGCCTTGAGACACTAGCTGGGCCTTGAACCAAGCACTCCCTTTGACTCAACAGCATGGATAGGAACCTGGATATGGTGGCTCAGAGCTCCCTGGGGGAACAAGAGCCATTCTTGCCCACCTGACGCAGCCCATAGGAGGGCTGGAAGTGGCACTGAATCCTAGGTTGAGTCCCCAGCTATGAAGCTCACTCACTATGTGGCTTTGAACAAGACACTCCTGGCTGGTTTCAAGCTGCTCAGCAGCTTTCACAAGCTGAGGGTTTTCTCTTGTTCTCACCTGGAGCTGCTAGGTGAGCTCTTTGGAAAAATCTGTGCCTTAAGTCCATGAGTTGCTGATATCTCCCTGCCTTAGGCAGAATCATGAGGATCTCTTTATGGATGGCTGAGAAGGGCTTGGGTACCATGAGGTATGACTGTCTGGATAACTCAATAGTCCTGTCCAGGGCTGTCAGACATCCAGCCATGCTCCTACTGCTGCAGTGCAATGTGTATAACATTCCTGTTACCTGCTAAGGTTGGGGAAGGGCTTTGCCCACTTCACTAGTTCTCTGGTACCTGCTGCATGGTGTTTGCACCTGGGAGTGGCCCAAACTGTCTCAGCACCCTGGAGGAATCTCCCCTCTCCCTGCCCTTCCCAGAATGGGATTGGTCTGAGGATAGCGGCATTTGCTCCCTCTGGATTCTTCACTGACAGCTCATCACTCAGCCAGGAACTGGCACCAGGGGAAGCATTTGGAGAACAAGCACCTGTGCAGGAAGCTGATCCAGTTCCAGTTTTGTCTGCTCCTTTGGCCCATGGGGACATATGACTCAGGCAGGTCACCCAGGCATTTGTAATCCAGCACTGCCCATTTATTAGGATAATCAACAGTTGCCACCACTGTCTCCGACTTGTCCCAAGACTAATGTTACATTAATGGGTCTCCTCTGGTCTGCCCTGAGGCTCTGCTCCTTTGTGTCACTGCTGGCTCCAGCTGGCTGCCAGGCTTAGCTGTCAGGAAAGATGCAGCTGTACTGATTTAAGATGTACTCCACAATCTGGTTCTGAAAGACCATGTGCATTGCCATGTTTCCCTCCTCATTCTCTGGTCTCAGAAGCGTGGGCCCAAAGACAATAGCAATGCCTTGCACAGACATCCGATTCTCCTCCTTGTGATCAATCACTCTAGAGAGAGCAAGAAAAGCACACAATAACTGATCCAGCTGGGGAACTTCTCTGAGAGCTGGGGCAATCTTTTGCTGTATCCCTCGTCTCTGCATTTTTGATAGGAACTGGGAAGAGACTGAAACCACAGCTGATTGGAGTCCAGACAATGGCTTAATCTAAATCTGTTTTGCTGCAGTTATCTCAGGAAACAGCAGAACCCCCTGCCCTCCCCTCTCCTCCCCAAAAGAGAAAAAAAAAGCAGAAAACAACCCCCACAAACTTCCTTTACTGTCAGAACAAGAGGACAGTGGAAAAAGCTGCCATACAAACCTCTGATGAAGGAGATTCTATGTAAAAAGAAGCCAGGGAAGCATGCCTCTAGGAGGGTTTAGACTAGCCTGTGCAGTGGCTTGGGGCCCGAGGTCCCTTTCAACTCTGGGATTCTACAGCGAGGAAGAAGCTGCCACATCATGGCAGGGGTAGTGGGTTAGGGTTAAGTGCAGAAGTGCATGCAGGAAGCCAGCAGTAGGACTGGTAAAAAGAAAATACCAATAAAAAAAGAGCAAGGTTCCCACCCCACACCGCCCATTAAAATTAACTTTTAATTAAAGCGCCTGCTTTTCCACTGAACATTGACTTTTCAAAAATAAGTCAATAAGTAACCTAAAATACAAAATATTTAAAGTCATAAACCACTATCTGTCATGGTGCTTCATGGAAGTTCAGTTGCCTCAAATCCCCATTCTCCCTGAGAAGTTGGGCACCCTAACTAGACAGCATCTCCTAGGGTGATGAACGGTCAGTCTCCCACATGCCTTGGGAGTCTATGGTATGCCGATAACCTTTGTCATCACAGGGGATCCTGCTCAGTCAGGAAGCCAGGCCCATAGAAGAGAACTGAAGTGTGGAGGCCCCCTGGATACAGCTTCCATGTTGCAACATTTCCAAAGTGAGATATTTTTGTTTATGGCTGAAGGATTTTTTTTTTTTGGTTTGGTTTGTTGTTGTTGTTTGTTTGTTTTTTGCGATAATTCAAGGGTTTTGTTTGGGGGGAAGCATTGTTCTATGAAACACTGACAAAGAAAAGGGGGGTTTTTGGTTGAATTTTTCCTTGGGGAAAAACATCTATAAACAGCTGCAAGTGAATACTAGGCAATGGGAGACCAGAATCCAGGTGAGTGGGAGTGCAGATCCCACAGGGCTCTCAGCACAAACACAGACCTAAGAAAGACCCTTGCAAAGGGAGCAGCCAGAGAAGATTCAGAGGAGCCTGTTTTCTTCTCCCTTTCCAAAGTTCTGTTTCTACATTTGGCTGCTTCAGATTGCAACATGTCCCTACAGATCTGGCCCTATAGTTCTGCCAAATTTGGCCCATGATCCTATAGCCATCAGCAAACCAGCCTCTTCCTCTCCCTTCCTGCAGCCAGCCAATGGTCCAGGGCCCTGGCAAGAGATGCTGTTGCTGACTGGGAGAAATACAGTTGGGGTGGCCCTTAGTGGGGGTGAGGGGGGAGGATGCAACTGCTGCTCTAGCTGAAGTTTAAAACTAGCCATCTGGGAGGGGCACTGGCATTTCTATTCAGGCAGCCTGGCCAGATCAACTGACTTCATGGATCATTATCATCTATCTGACTCCTGATAATATCTCTCTATTCCACAGGTGTTAATGACTAGTGACCTACCTAAACCATGGTAGAAGTTCACAGTGCAAACTTGCTCTTTTCGACGCATACTCCTTCACCCCCCACTCCCGCTGCTGAGTGGCTGAGAGGCGAACACCATGGCATTAATTGCCTCTTGGCCACTCAGCTGGGGAGAAAAGAGCAAGATAAAAGGTGCTGCTGCGCTGCAAACTTCTGCTGCAATTTAGGCAGGTCCCTATTAATGACCCTCTCCCCCTTTTTAATGTTCCTGATGTTCCACTATTCAAATTATCCATTCTTCTGCAACTTTGATGCATTAGAAGAGAGACATTACCAGGAATGGCTTTCACAGCCCTCCAGACTATTTTAAGCTCTAGCTAAAAACCTTAACTCAAGTGTAGTAATATTAACTCAGGTGTAGAAATGACTAACAGTGAAGTACTGGAGCTCTGTCAAGACACTCAAGGAGGCTAGATTTTACAAGTCTGAATAAGAGATACATGTTTTACTATAATGCCTACAGGACTAATTACAAAATCTTTTGACTATTTTTTGCTTAGTTTGTTGTGGGTTTGTTTGTTTTTTTAAACTTCATCTAGTAAATTAGTGCACATTCCAACAGTTTTATTGGTTTTTGCTTTGATCTTAAAACTGAATAACATAGTACTAGGCCCCTAGTCTATTAGATTCTCTTTAATGGGAAAAAGACGTGTCATGTTATGTGTGATGAGGTACCACATCACTTGTACCTCCCTTTCAAAAAAAACTTAGATCCGTTCATGAATTCAGCTTAAAACAGGGCTAAGGAGGGCCAAGGTAAAGGTAGTGTCACAGATTCTGCATGATGAAAAGCCAGGCAGAACTGGACTATAATACATGGATGCAGGAGTGGTGCTTCTCAGGAGGCAATTTGGGAAGCAGGCATGTCCATGCAGTTTACAAGGTTGGGATGCCACCAGATGTGGCTGGGACTTACCTGCTGAGATGCCGGAAGAGAGCCTTCATGGTGTCATGGTTCGGGGGCGGAAGGGAATACACCAGGTCACGGACACACTTGATGCGCTTTGTCGGGTCATACATTTCTATGGCCAAAAGGATAAATAGGTCAAGTTGTCTGAATACCAGACAATGGGTCTGGATGCCAGAAAAAAAAAAGTCCAAGTTGGGGACCCTGTGTCTACTTCTCCTGGCCTTACCATACACTACCTTTGCAACCCCCAGGGACACAAGTCCTTACCTGGTGTGAGACACCATAGTGTTACTGATGGTGCAGCAACACAGAGCAAGTTATGCCAGCTACAGCCACTTGCCAATCCATAAAACAAATGTTAAGGACACTCCTCTAGCCTATCTTGCAGGAGTGCCATGAGGATGAATCCACATGTCCTAGTGTGCTCAGAGTGGGAATTCGACAAGAACCTAGATATAAGGGAGTTGCATCTTCCCTCAAGGAACCATGCTAGCTGTCACTACAGGCTGTGGCTCAGAAGTCATAAAATAATCCTCCTACTTTGGGTTTGAGAATTGGGTTTGCGTAACAAACTAAGATCCAGCTGGTAACAAGCAGGTTCAAAGCCATTCCTGCCAAAAGCAATTCAAACACAAAACCGCTTGGTCCATATTCATAGCCGACCGCTCGAAAATCAGACTGTGAACGCAGACAGTTTTGGTGCCTTGGGCCATGGCCTAGACCAGTAGTGCTCAATATTTTGCCCCAGCGGGCTGGATGGGCAGTGCCTGGTCAGTCCTGGGGCCAGAACTGGCTGATGGTCCCAATCTGACACCATCCGGCTCAAGGAGGGCAGCTTGGCCCTGACCCAGCCCTGCAGATGAAGGAAGTTTAACCTGGCCCTGAAGGGGAGAAGGAGCCATGGCTCCTTGGGGTGCAGGAAGGGGAGGGGCATGACCTGGTCCCAATCTAGACACAGGGGAAGGGGGCATAGCTTAT